GCGGCCTGGAGACGAGGGGACCGATCGGCAAGCTGTTGAAATCTTGCGCGGAGCATGGGAGCTAAATCCTGCACGCAAGCTAACCTCTTTTGCATTCCTGCCCAACACGGCCTCAGAAATGACCCAGAGAGCACCCATGCAGTCCAAGCGTCACCCGTGATGATCAAAGACGGCGCAAGATAGCCGTCATGCGGGTCAAGCGGACCTGCGCAGAATCCAATCGTGCACAGGAAGCCGACAAGGTGGACCAAGACGGCCCCTGGAAGGTGACAAGGCGGCCCAAGAGGTCCCCAAGAGAGCCGCTAGACAGCGCCAACAAAAAAAGCGTGAGCGCCCCGAAAGCCCCAAAAGGCATACAACAGACGGCAAAAGCTGCCAACACACTCGTATTCCCAATGCCTATCACAGCAATCGCAACAAGACCACCTTCCTCCATCTGCTGGCGAGTGTCAAGAAGGCGACGGCACCCGACCAACCCCCGAAGGCCTCCGAAGGCCCTCAGATCTAGACGCCCGAAATTGGTACGGAACAACAATGGGTACGATGCCCAACAGCTAATGCTGTCCAAAGAGGCCAGCGGCCGCTCGCTGTGGGGCAAACGGCATTCTGCCTCAAATGGACACCGTCCGCGGCGACGCGGACAGCGAATCCAGTCCAGAATGGACAAGAAACGCTGCTCGTCTTCGTACCCATTCTTTCCGTACCCAGCTCGATCGTACCGATCGCCGATCGGAGGCTTTCTGCGGCGACTGCGGCGTCGGCGGCGCCGGCGACGACGACCGCGCCCAAGGCCGCGCCAACAGCCGCGCCGAAGGCCACCGACAGACCCCTCGAAGGTCTCCGACGGCTTGCGAGGTCCCCTGCGGAGCCTTCGGCGACGACGACGGCGCCCGGCCACACCGCAGGCCCCCCGAGGGGCCCCCGAAAGACCCGCCGCCGAGGGCACCAAGAAGGCGCTCCGCGAGGTTCCCCAAGGGCCCCTCAGAGCCCTTCGGTGGCGGCCGCCTGGGTGGCCAATGCCGATGCCACTGCTCCGCAGACCTCTCCATGGGATGCGGTCTGACCAGCATTTCGGTGCGAGCCTGGCCGTGGCGACGAGGGCCTCCCAGGAGGCTCAGACGGCGAAAACGAGGGGAGGGAGGATATGGCTTCTGAATTACTTCGGGTAACTGTCGTTGCCCTTGGCGGGGGTTGCGGTAACGCTTGGGCGGGTTGGGGCACGTCGGGGCGGGAGTTCGCTGCGATCGCCAAAGTCTGCGCGCAAGCACCAGGATGCGGGGGGGTCCACGCCCCCGCTCCCCCCCTCATGCGATCGCTGCCGTTACCTGGGGGGGGGGGGCGGGGGGGGGGCACAGGCAGCGACTGTTACGCGCCAGAGGATACCAAACTCACAAAAGCACCTCGACCCTTGCCTCCTTCGAGCGCCATCATCTGCGGCGGGCCGCGCCGCCTCATGACGATGAAGTACTTGCGCGGCACGCCCGGGGCCTCCACGAGGAACAGGCCCGCGTACCGGTTGATGAGCGAGCGTGGGCTCCTGCCTCGGTATTGCGCCGGGCCCGGAGGCCCTCTGAGGGGGGGCATCGCTGGGAGGGAGGCGACCGCCCTGTCGGCCACATCTCGCCTGCCTCTCTGAGGGCCCGCGCAGAGGCCATCGACGCTGCAAGCCTCCCGAGAAGCCCCACTTTCGTCCTCCACCGCCTCAACCCGCAGAGGCTCGCGGAGGACCCCCCCAGGAGGTTCCCGTGCTCGAGCAGGAGATCGGCTACAGAATTGATTTACCACAAAATCGTTTTTTTCCGTAGTCTACGATCAAAGCAGTCTACGCAGTTGTCGTAGATTCGGCAACAAAAACAATGTGGGGGCAAATCGATTCTGTAGTTTGTAAAGCCCGCCGATCCTTTCACGAGGTCCCGATGGGAAAAGGAGAAAGGAAAAGCGAGGAGGAAACGAGAAAGTGAGACGATGGAGGCCAGGAGAAACAAATCGGAAAGAAAGTGAGCAGAAACGTGGCGATTGAAGCCAGCAGAAGAAAGCCTGAACGAGGATGAGCAGAACGGCGGCAATGGAGGCCAGGAGGGGAAAACCTGAAAGAAAATGAGCAGAACGGAGGCGACGGAGGCCAGAAGAAAAAACTAGAAAAATCGCAGAACAAAGGCGAGGATGTGAGAAAGTAGATTGTGAGCACGCACCACGGAGAGGAGGAACAAAGGGGGGCTGCAGGACGGAAGCTAGGAAGAAGAAGGCGAGGAGATGATCGTCCACTGTTGCTGCCCACTGGTTGCCACGGGCTCAGGCCCTGCCCGCGCTAGCCACCCCACAGCAGGTCCTTTGGGCGCGCTGCCCAAGCCGCCCGCGCTCAGGGGGCGAGAGCGAAAAAGAGAAGGGCGGGTGCACGGGGAAAAGGAGGAGGAGGAGAAGGAGGAGGAGGAGGAGGACGAGGAGAAGGAGGAGGAGGAGGAGGAGGAAGAGAGGAGGAGAGGAGGAGGAGGAGGAGGAGGAGGAGGAGGAGGAGAGGAGGAGGACGCGGAGGCAAGAGCAGGAAGAGGAGGAGGAGGAGGAGGAGGGGAAGGACGCGGAGGAGGAGGTGGAGGACGAGGAGGAGGAGGAGGAGGCGAAGCAGGAGGAAGAGGAAGAGGAGGAGGAGGAGGAGGAGGAGGAAGGAGGAGGAGAGGAGGAGGAGGAGGAGGAGAAGGAGGAGAGAGGAAAGAGGAAGAGGAGGAGGAGGAGGAGAGGAGGAAGAGGAGGAGGAGGAGGAGGAGGAGGAGGAGGAGGAGGAGGAGGAGGAGGAGGAGGGGGGAGGAGGGGGGGCGGGGGGGAGGGGAGGAGGAGGAGGAGGAGGAGGAGGGGAGGAGGAGGAGGAGGAGGGGAGGAGGAGGAGGAGGAGGAGGAGGAGGAGGAGGAGGAGGGGAGGAGGGGGAGGAGGAGGAAGGAGGAGCAGAAGGAGGAGGAGGAGGAGGAGGAAGAGGAGGAGGGGGAGGAGGAGGAGGAGGAGGAGGAGGAGGAGGAGGAGGAGGAGGAGGAGGAGGCGGAGGAGGAGGAGGAGTTGGAGGAGGAGGACGACAATCAGGACTCCTGGATCATTCGGGTGATATCGATGATCCAAAAAGCCCAAACGTGGCCCGACAATGCTTCTGCGCCGGCGGCCCCAAGTGACTCCGCGACGGCCCGGGGCTCCAAGACAGCCCCAGTCGGTCTCTTGTCAAACGCCGCTCTGACTAGAGACCACCTCGAAACCAAACTAGGGCCCAAGAGGGCCCCAACGGCGTCCCAGGGGGGGTCCGAGAGGGCCCCAAGGGCGCCCCAGGGATGCCCGGCTGCCCCAAGAGGGCGCCGCCGCCGCCGTCGCCGCAGTCGCCGCTGAGAGCTGCAGGCCTTACGGCCAGCGCCACCGACCTGACCCTGGATGCTTCGGCCCTCAAGGGTGACGGCATGCGCGATAAGAGGTCGGAGGTGCAGGAAGACGCGGCGGAGGAGGAGGACGAAGAGGAGGAGGGTAGGAGTTAGGAGGATGTTATTTCTAACCCCCTTTGAAATAACATGTGTGATCGGGGGGTGGGGGGAGGAGGAGGAGGAGGAGAGGAGGAGGAGGAGGAGGAGGAGGAGGTGGAGGACGAGGAGGAGGAGGGAGTGGAGAAGGAAGGAGGAGGGAGGAGAGATGAGGGAGGAGGAGGAGGAGGAGGAGGAGGAGGAGGAGGAGGATGTTATTCTAACCCCTTTGAAATAACAGGTGTTGATCGGGGGGGGTGGGGGGAGGAGGAGGAGGAGGACGAGCGGAGGAGGAGGAGGAGGAGGAGGGGGGGAGAAGAAGGGGGGAGGGAGGGGGAGGAGGGGGAGGAGGAGGAGGAAGGATGAGGAGGAGGAGCAGAAGGAGGAAGGACACCTGATCATTTCCATAAAGATATAAAGATGATTTTTCTTCTGGTGATATCGGTGATCCAAAAGGCCCAAGCTTGGCCTGACAATGTCTGGGCGCCGGCGCGGCGCTGTCCCACGCCGCCCGGGCTGGGGCGGGGAGACCGAGAGAGAGGAGGGGCGCGCGAGGTAGGGGGGGGGGGAGAAGAGGAGAAAGACGAGGAGGAGAAGGAGAAGGGAGAGGGAGAGGAGGGGGAGGGGGAGGGGGATGGGGGAGGAGGACGAGAAGGAATAGCTGACGGGGGGGGAGGGGGGGGAAGAGGAGGGCGAGGAGGAGGAGGGGAGGAAGAGGGGGATAAGGAGGAGGAGTAGGAGGATGAGGAAGAGGAGGAGGAGGAGGAGGTCGGAGGCCCCCCGAGGCAGGTCCGCAATGGAAGATGCGGTCGGACTCGCAGAACGGCCGCACGCCCACGCGACCCGCGACGAGGGGAGAATGGGCCCCGAGGTGCTCCACCTCCTCCTCCTCCCCCTCCTCCTCCTTCCCTCTCTTCCTCCTCCTCCTCCTCCGCCTCATCGTTATCCTTCTCTCCTCCTCCTCCACCTCCTCCTCCTCCTCGTCGTCCTCCCCCTCCTCATCTTCCTCCTCCTCCCTGTCTCATTCCTGTGTCTCCTCCTCCTTCAGCGTTCGCGATCGTAGGTCGGGTGCTGAGGCTCTCTAAGCGTTGTCTTGGCTGAGCCACCTATCGAATTGGAGGCCCCCCCCTGACCGCGAGATTTTGGGGTCGCAGCCGATCTCGACATGAGGTGCCCCATCTAAGAGGGCCCAAGGCTGCGCGCGACAAAAAATCATCATCCTTTCCTCCTCCTCCTTCTCCTCCTCCTCCTCCTCTTCCTCCCTCGTCTTTCCTCCTCCTCCTCCTCCTCCTCCTCTTCCTCCTCCTTTTGCTGCCCCTCCTCGGGGCGGGGGGAAGTCGGGGGAAGTGGAGCTCCCGGCGCTCGAGGCCAACGTGCCAACGGGGCCGGGGAAGCGCTGGGAACGGACAGCCCGGCCCGCAGCCCGCAGCGGGCCAAGTTGCCAAACTTTCAGAGCAAGGTGGGGCGGTGGGCCGCGGGGGCCACAAACGCACAACAAAAAAAACGCCCAATCAGGCGCATTGGGCCCCATTGGCATGGGCGGGCGCGGCGGGCGTCAGTGCCTCCGGCGCCCGCCCGGCCGAAATGGCGGAGCACCTGCCGGGAAGGGCCGAAGCGAGCCAGGGGGGCCGCCTGGCTGCCTGGTTCCTCCTGCTCCTCCTCCTGCTCCTCCTCTTGCTCTTCCTGCTCCTCGTCCTTCTCTTCTCTTCCTCCTCCTCCTCCTCCTCCTCCCCCTCCTCCTCATCGTCCTCGTCCTCCTCCTCCTCCCCCTCCTCCCCCCCCCCTGGCGCCTCGGCGCCCCCCCCTCCCCATCCCGGGCCGAGCGAAGGGGGGGCAGGGAAGGGGGGGGTGCGAAATTTGCTGCGCGCAGCTGGTTTTCGGCACCATTGAAGGGCCCATTCCTCGAAACGCAGCCGCCTCCAGCGCCGGGGGGTGCTGGGCAAATCAGCTACGCGAGCTGATTCTCACCCCCCCCCTTTGCTATCCCCCCTGTCGCCCGGCCCGACCATCCCCCTTTGCCTCCTCCTCCTCGCCCTCCCTCGCCAAGCCGCGCCCGCCTCTCACTGCAACTCGCGAGGCCGTCGCTGCTGCGACCCGGCCTCGCTCAACGTCTCGAGCCACTTCTTGGACGTGTCGGATACGAGATCCTTGATCGCAGCGAGGTTGTCCGAGGACCCTTTCGAGAGAATAGGGGGCACATACTTGCGCAATCCGCAAACCATGGAACCGTTCACGGGCCACTGAGCGATCAGCGTACCAGGGGGGGTCCACAGGGGCGACTTTGGCGGCGCCGTGGCTGCGTGCATCGTGCAACCTCCGTTCTTCACCAGCAGCGCCGCCTTGTTGGACAGACCTCGCATGAACTCCTTGAGGTCGCTGATGCTCTTCGTAGAATCCTCCAACCCGTTGAAGACATCCAAGAGAGGGGCTGCATCTGCGACGATAACCTTCGACTCCCCCTCGAACGTAGCGCGGTAGCACCCAGGGAACTCGTACTCGAAGTCGACGTTGCAGTACGAACCAGAGAAACCAAAGAGTGACATGTGTTCGATCTTCGGCCCTAGCTTCTGCAACTTCGCCGCTGGGGGAAGTGCGCCAGCTGGCAAGAATACCTTCCAAGTCGGGTCCAGACACTCTGCGCCCCACGCTGGCAGGACTTGGCTGACCACGCCCCCATTCTTCAAGCAGAGCGCGTTCTTCGGGTACTGAGTCTTCCAGCGCTGCATGGTCGCCCCAAGCTTGCCGTTAGAGTCGAAGGCCTTGTCGAGGGCGCCCGCCAACACCAAGAACGGCCGATCCAGGACCGCGACGTCGATCGCCCCCTCGGATGGCGGCTGTATCTCCGGGACCGAGGAGTGGCCAGTCCCGAAAGCGTCGAGGGCGAATATCGGGCAGGACTTGATCTTCTCTGGCATTGCGTCCGTCTGCGCCTTCTGGGCAGCCTGCTCAGCCGCCTCCTGTTCCTGCTTGTCATGTTTCTGTGCCTCTTTCTCACGCTCCTTCTTCGCCTCCTTCGCCCTCCGATCGACGTTGCGACGGAGGTCCTTGGCAGCGATCGCGATCCCGCTCTTTAATTGGGTGAGGAGGGTCTTCTGAAACTTCCACGTCTCGGACCCCTCGTCAAGCTTCTGCTGGCTCTGGATCTGCCCGATGGAAACGCTGAGGAATTTCAAACTGCTCCAGGACATCATATCTGCGGAGTCGGTGGGCAACATGTCGATCTGTTTGATCTTGTTGTTGAGCGCTTGGTCATGGCGTTCGCGAGCAATCTTGCAATCTTCGGCCCGCTTCTTCTCGATCTCCGCTGCAAGATCACTGCCCTCCGTCTCCTCAACCTTGACCACCGGCGGCGGCTCGTCGGTCTCGCCGCTCAGGAAGTCCAGGGCGGTCGCGCTGAAAGATGGTTGATCATCGCCCTTCGTCTCCAACTTCGCAGTGAACCCGAGCAGCAATGATCCAAGATCCACGCGCTCCACGGCCATGGCAATGTATTCAGCGTCCTCGTTATCAGTATCTCCGCTATTTTTGCTAGTATTGATCGCAACGAGGGCATCCCTTATTGCGTCCGTCATGTTCTGTTTTACCTTCGCCATGTCGATGGGCATTTGCTGCTTGGCCTTCGTGCGGTTCCTCTGCAAGTTCCTCATGGCCTTTGGATCAGTCGTGGCGCGCTCCAAACCTTTTAGAAGCCTCCTAGATGGGGTCGGCGTAGATGGGGTCGGAGGATCGCGCCGAATCGCCGATACGTCGGCGATGCATCGTCGATGCATCGGCGATGCACCGGCGATGCATCGTCGACGTTGGCGATGCATCGGCGACGTCGACGTGGCGCAAATCGGGCTGCACCTCGAGCCGCATCGGCGATGCATCGGCGATGCGGCGCGATCCTCCCATCTACTCCGACCCCATCTAGGAGGCCTAGACCTTTGTCCCCTGGGCTGTCGGCCGGGGTGGGCTCTCCCAGGGGGCCCTTGCCTGAAGGCGTGCCTTCGTTCTGCGTCCTGGGGATGGGCGCGCCCCCGTCCTCCCTGCTGCTGCTGCCTCTGGAAGCCGCACTGCGGAGGTTCGCGAGGATGTCATGCTCGGGCGCGCCACCTTCGGAGGTGAGGGCGCCGGCCTTCACGGCGTCGCGAAGGCTGCTGAAGTCTTGGCGATCGGCCTTCTGCTCAGCGAAACCAGTCCGACACTCGCTCAACATGGTTTGCTTCGTGTGCTCTGAAACGTTCTTCTGGACCTTGCCCATCGCCCGCAGCTCCTTCTTCTCGACATCCGCGTTCTCCTTCCTGTTCGAGTCGTAGCCGACCAGAGAGGACGGGATCGCCAGCCGCTTCTTGTGTTTGCCCCAGCCTTTCTCGTCTGATTGAACGCCAGATCTCTCCAGGGCTTCCCACTCCTTGAGACGCACGTCTGGTTGCCAACCCCTCTTGGACTTCATCTTGTTGCAGAAAATCCAAACAGCCCTCCTGGGCGACAGGTGGCCCCACGACATTCTTCCCCCCCCTCTGGGAGGGGTTTACCCCCATGCCCCGTCAGACGGCTCAGGAGGCCTCCAAGACGCCGAATATGGTTTCGAATATCCTCGTTAAGGCCACTCGCCTGGCGGCTCTTTTGAAATGGGCTGGCGGGGGTACTCTTTGGTCTGCGGCCGCGCGCAGCAAATCAGAGGGCGTCCGAACGCTAGCCGGGCCACGAGCTGGCGGTGTACTTTTTGGTCTGCGGGCTCGCGAAGCAGGTCGAAAACCGTCCGAACACTAGTCGGGGCTGGAGGGAATACGCAAGGCGTGAATGATTTCGAAGTCCCACATGGGGTCCGCAGATACCTCCGACTGCCTGGACTCAACCCCGCGCGTGTGGATGTACTGGGTCATGTCGATGGACCCGCGCGACTGGCCCTTTCGGACGTTTCCTGTTGGGTCTTTGCAAGCGATCTTGACTGCTGGAGCGCCACGAAGCCCACCCTCCTCCTCCTTTCCCCTCCTCCTCCTCCTCCTCCTGCTCCTCCTGTTTCTCCTCGTCCTGCTCCTCCTGCTCCTCCTCTTCCCTCCTCATCCTCCTCCTCCCCCTCCCCCCCTCCCTCATCCCCCCCCTCCTCCTCCTCCTCCTCCTCCTCCTCCTCCTCCTCCTGCTTCTCCTCCTCCTCCTCCTCCTCCTCTTTCTGCCCCCCCCACACTTCCTCCTCTTCCTCCTCCTTATATCCTTCCACTCCTTCTCCTCTTCCACCTCGCAGTCGTCGATATCTGGCAGCGTCGGCGGCGCTGGCCGTCAGGCCTTCACAGTGGGGTCATTGAGTGCTGGAGTATTTGCCACCCTGAAAGTCCTTCAGGCTATTTCGAATTGAACTCCAGGAGCACCTGCGCGGCCGTGGTCGGGTCCTCCAAGCAAGGCGAGGACGCTCGGAAGGAGACGCGGGGGGGGGTCAAACGGGGCGGGTTGCCCGGGGCTTCTGAGAAGTCCGCCAACCTTCTGAGAAGCCCCCCCTGTCTTCGGACTTGGCCAAGGAAACCTCTTAGAAGCTTGAAGCCCCGCGGGCTTCTGAGAGGTTCCGCGCCCTTCTGAGAAGGCCGGCCCCTTCTCCCCCCCCCCCCCCCCCCCCCTTCTGCATTGGCTCTTAGAAGCTTGAAGCCCCGCGGGCTTCTGAGAGGTTCCGCGCCCTTCTGAGAAGGCCGGCCCCTTCTCCCCCCCCCCCCCCCCCCGCCTGCATTCTCCGTCTAGGCTCAGAGACGAGGGGTTGATATCGGATCGCCCGGGCCCCCCCGCCCCTGCTTTCTACTCGCCGCGCGCCCCAGCCGATGGCGCGATGGAGGGCGCGGCGCAGACGGCCGCCGCCCTCGCCGGGGGCGAGGCGGCAGGGGGGCGCGCACTTGGGCTGATCGTTCTGCCCCAACCCTCTGCCGCCCATCCCTCCCCCGCGCGTTTCTCCCTGAGGGCGCGGAGTCAGAGGCCAGAGGACGGGGGCCGAACGATTCGCCAAGGACGCGATGGTGGGGCAGGGGGGGGGGAGGGAGGGAGTTTGAGGGCCAGAGTTTCCTTGGGGCCTTCCTTGCCTTCACCGAAGACCTCGTAAAACGCCTTGGCGTTATCGGACGTCTTGTCCTTCCCCCTGTTGGTCGCGCTGCGGCAGACGCAATCGAAGCAACGCCTATGGGTCCAGCAATAAATCGAGCCCTTTGCGCACGGGGAGCTGCAACACAAGCAGGCCTTGTCGGTCGTTTCCAATCTGGTTGTTTTTCTCTCGGGGGTTGGCGCCGTCGCAAGACCCATCGCCGTGAGAGGCCACCTCGGCCGCGAAATCGAACGCACCGCTATCTGACATGCCGGGAGCTGACCGTCTAGCCGCAGATGCTACTTAGCCCCAGTAGGAAATGGGTACCTTAACAAGTGCAGGCAATGAGCACGCGGCCCTAGCTGCCAGCCAGATGCTCGATCCAGCGGCCAGCGGAGGGCGTAGAGTTCTAGGCCTCCCAGATGGGGTCCGAGTAGATGGGGTCGGTGGATCGCGCCGCATCGGCGACGCATCGGCGATGCGGCTCGATGTGGAGCCAGATCTGCTTCACGTCGACGTCGCCGATGAATCGCCCACGTCGGCGATGCATCGC